TGCTGAAGGTATTGTAGGGATGCTAAGCATACACTGAAACAACTTGTCTTATCACTGAAATCATTCATTTATCAACAGTAGGTTTATCACATTAGACTAGGGTAAGGCATTCACTTAACACAATAAACCATTGCCCAAAGTCTCAATACTGCATATAAAGCTAAAGTTGCTGTAACACTGATTTGCTATTTAAAGACATTTAGCACTTTTTTTTTTAATCTTAAACCTTATATTAACCATAATGAAGTTTATTTTGAAATTTAAATTTTGATTATAAACTGAAGACAGCCGAGATTTCAAATAATCTTCTCTACTCATCAAATCACAAATATACTGCAATTCATGTTTCTTTTATTCAATTTTAGTCCCTGGATGTATTTGTGATAGAAGGAAGGAGCCATCACCTMCCTCCTGCGCCAGGGAAATGTATTTTAGCAATGCTCCCACAAATTAAGAGCAAGAGAGCCAAATTCTTCATGAAAAGGACCGTTAAAATCCAGGTATTGGACACTTGACAAATATCTCAACAGTAAAGCAGACGTTAAACAGATGTTCACACAATTAATAACACAGCACTGATTGCTCTCATAAGCTGCAGTGATACAATTTCTGCATCCCTTCAGGTTCACAGTATTTTATTAACCTCAGGTGATTATCATCCTATGCACTTCAACATGTTTTGCTCACTCAAATATAGGCATAGCAGAGAGGAAGCTTGACTGTCATGATAAGTGAGTTAATTAAAGGACAATAATGGAAATACACTAACAGTCATGAAGCAGTTCACATAACTGGTAAAATGTTAGCTACAACAGCATATGTAATACTGAGAATTCCAGTTTTGTTCACAGAATGACTACATATATGTAATACATACTAAGTCAAGATACTGGAAAAAAAGTGCATGGGAAAAAGTTGAAAAAAGTGTGAACACGAATGCTAGGTAAGAGCATGGTTACATATGACAAAAAGGGATCATGGTGTTGCACAATTAAGGACAAAATATAATCCTGCGTCCCTTTAAAATATGAATTAAAGTCTATCAATAAAAAGATAAGATCATTAGAATCATTATGGTTGGAAAAGACCCTCAAGATCATCTTGTCCTACCGTATGCTTGAGAAAATACTACTGTTTCTCATTGGTGGCTGGAACTGACCTACAAATTCAGTAGAAGTTCACGAATCTTTGCGTATTACAAAGAAAGTCCTTTCTACATCATGGACTGACCAGTTTTATTTCACACAGATGAAGACTTTGCTTACATTCCGAGTGAAGTATTTTCTGATGTTTTGGGGAAGTCTTTCTGCTATTAGTTTATAAAATAATCTCCTAATGCATATATATAGGTATATATATTGCTTATACATGGTAACATCTAAATCGACTTTAAAGTGGCTCTGAGGAGGCTCAAGCTGTCTTTCACTTCCAAGACTGTCTCCCCTACGAAGTTAAATACAGATGTTTCTGAAACTGAAATAAGAAGATCCAGGAGGCTATACTTGAGTTGCAGAAGATAAACACATATATATAAAAAAAGATTTTTTAAAAGAATTCTCAGGGTCTCTGACTCTTCTAAGAGGTTGCTGGCTGATACTAGTGTTCAGTCAGGTGCAGAAAACTTTAGAAGGATAACTGAAAAACAAGGTGATTATTCTCTAACAAGCAAAAGTTAAAAAAGCAAAAGGAGCATTCAGCTGACTGCTCAGATCTCATTAATGCTTGTACACCACTTTATTCTGCTTGCAAAAAACTCCCTATGTGTTTTTGTAGCACAGTATAAATCCACTACATCTTTGACATGCACTGATTGTACTGTCTCTCTTCTTTCTGGCATCCTTTCAATCCTCAGCACAGGGATTTTCTTTTAACATTCACTGAAATAATTATCCTATCTTTCTTAGATGTCTTCTTTATTTTTAGCTTCATAAGTAGAAGTGTTGTCTTCTGGTTTGCTAAATTTTTTAAATAATTTAGTGCATTTGCATACTAAAAATTGTAGCTAAAAAAAGATGGAGAGCTCAACAGTAAGGTTCAGAGGGAGAACAGGCTAAGTTTTTACTGAATATTTAAAAGGATACTATCTTTAGCTGTCTATATATTTAGCTGTTCAGTTTGCTTAAAAGCTTTTTTTGGTTAGACTCTCTCTAATGTATTTAAACAAAGATAGGAAGTATAACAGAGCATGGAAGCATAAAAAAGCAGAGAAGCTACAATAGCCTAAGTATGATATATAGAGAGATAATATTATGAAATTAAAATTATATTGGAGGTAGAGTTTTCCAAATCCATTTTATTTTCACACAAAGAAAAGGTGCACACTTTTTACATTGTAAGTTTAGAACTTGAAATTTTACAGTGTTTATATTCTCTAGGAGAGCAGTTAGAAATTTTTGAGTTACAGCAAAAATCTATGGGTGCAAATGCTTCAAATGAGATATGACAGTGCGGCTTTCAAATGCTAAACAAACTAAAATTATCAATTTAGACTAAGACAACCGAAAAATCAAATGCTCTCYAAAAAGTCCATGCTGATGTGCTCTTTCTTAGAATGGTGTTAGAAACCTAAATTGTTGCTGTGCCRTATTTTAGATTTAATCAGGACTCCGTGTAAGCAGTTGGTATTTCTCACTTGTTTTCTCTTACCAGGGAGGCAGGTGCAGAACTCTGTGGCTGATGCAAGTGCTCACCAAAATACAAAGGSAAATGCTGAGGAAGGGGTTCTCCTGGCAGGCTACTCACATTCTAACACACATGAGAATACTCTAGGTGTTTTCAGGAGTATGTTATTAACCAATAGCTGGAGTAAATTCCTTAGAGCTTATAAAGTTATTGGAATTTTATAAGAGGAAAGGGCCCACACATCAGTGGSTCTTCTCCCTTTCTTAATCTAGAGTTGTAGTTTTTCCACTCCCWTTCCATAAAGAGGAACAGATAAACATCAGAGAACAGAAACCAGGTATTAACCTCCTTGGCCTTGCAGCCAAGTACCCAAGGTCCAATTCTTTGGCCTTCTTTAATTTCCAGTGCTAAAGGTACCTCTGCAGCTGCAAAAGAGGTCTTGTCACCATGACTTACTTCCACTAACCAAATCCTACTAACATTGCATCTAAAACAGCACTTAGTCTAGGGAATTAAAACACAGGAAGTTCCATCYGCACWTGAGGAAGAACTTCTTCACTGCRAGGGTGCCAGAGCCCTGGCACAGGCTGCCYAGGGAGGYTGTGGAGTCTCCTTCTCTGGAGGTCTTCAAAACCCACCTGGATGCCTCCCTGTGCCCCGTGCTCTGGGTGTCCCTGCTGGAGCAGGGKGGTTGGACTAGATGATCTCTGGGGTCCCTTCCAGCCTTAACCACTTTATGATTCTGTGAATCTTCCGCAATACTCTAGATAATTTCAGTTTCTCTCCATGTCTCTGGAACACCCTGCCCTTTTCCAGGCATCTAGTCATAAGAATGCTACTTATGGCTTTTTTGCTGTAGTACAGTAGAGGAAAAGAAGGAATGAAAGGTTTGGGGAAGAATTGAAGGCAGCTGGGTCTTTCCTAATGATATGTTGGAAAACACCTTTAAAAAACACCAACCAAACTAAAGGTTGGAGGTAGACTTATACGATTATTCTCTCAGTCTTCTCACATTTTTTTAAGGAAATTAGGACAGTGAGAAAATCGGTAAAAAGAGAAAGAAGAAAAAGGTTTCTTTTTCGGGAAGGTGGAAGATGCTATGTTTGCAGGAGGTATGGAGAACAAAAACATGTAAAGATGRAATCAATAAAAGAAGGAATAAAGGAGAAATAGAGAAATGAACAACACATAAGAAGCAAGAGCAAAGACATATAAATTTAACTACATATAATTCATCTTTTGTAAAATACTACTTTGCAATTACCTGGTAGGTATCTTGCATTGCTCATTTATGAGAATGAATTGGGAAGACTATTTTAAAACTCATGTTTAATTAASATTATTGACTGTCTACTCTGTTTTTTGTTTGTTTGCTTAAATTTGAGGTTGGTTGAATGACTACCTATACTTTATTAGTCATAGGGAGACGGAAAAAGGATTATTTTGTATTTTGGAGGGGCTTCTTTTTCATTCTTTTTCTTTGCATGAATTATTCCATGGACAAATTCAGCCATAAAACCCTATTATATAAAACAGTGACTTTCAAAGAGGTTCAAGGTGGAGATTTCATATTCATATCCCATATTCTAGTATGAAAATCTGCCACTAGTTATGTGGTTGTAACACCACCTTCCTGTTTTGTCTTACTTGTTTTTATCAAAGTACATACTAGAACTTAGATGGGAAGAGACTGTATCTTTTCATTTCCTAGGACACTGACCCTGCCTATCTATGCAATTTACAAGTTACAAAATTTACAATTACAAAATGTAATATTTCACATGCATCCATCTCTGTCATTCCCTGCTTTTTTCCTTTGCTTTGTTTTAGTCTCTGAACTGTATTATTAGCTTTACTTCTCTGAGCTACAATATTACTGTGATAGTAGCATTTTCTGCCCTTCTGCTTTCTCCGCTCTCCRATGCAAAAGCAATCGAGGGGGAAAACTACTCTTATCTCGATTCTCCTGTGATCCAGCTCAGTAGTGTGATCCAGCCCTGACATCAGCAGTGTTGTTATTCTAATCAGTCTCATACAGCTTGCTGAATTGTGCTGATCACCTTAGTGTTCTGCAACATCTAAGCAATACCTTGCTGGAAAACATTCTGTTCTGCGGGATATTTTTTTTTCTCCTGAATGAATCACAGAAATTAGAAATAGAAAAGATCAACCAGAAGGGGTAATATAATTTCCTTCTGTAAAACTGGTAAGCTTACTCAGGCGAATCCATTTGGTCTCTGCGATACTGTCCCTATGGACGAGGTTAATGTTCAAAAGGAGTAGATGGCTTGACCGTGAAATCACATCAGTGATTTGTTAAAAAAACAACAATCCATATATATACCTAAAGGACCAAAAACAACATCCCAGAGCTCAAGATGCTGTTGCGTGGCTGTTCAGAGAGACCTCAGCAGGCTGGAGAATGGAGCAGAGACTGGGCAGAGAAAAACTTCATGATGTTCAACATAGAGAAGTGCAAAATCCTGAACCTGGAAAGGAATCATCTGTTACAGGCTGGAGGGGAGCTTTGTAGAGAAGGACCTGGGAGTCCCAGCAGACAAGATGAAGAAGAGACAGGAATGTGCCCTTGCAGCAAAGGCAGCCAACAGCCTCTCGGGCTGCATTATGAATACCATGGCCAGAAAGCTGAAATGGGTGAYCTTTCCTTTCTGCTCAGCCTCACTGAGACACATGTGAGTGCTGGGTGCAGTCCTGGGCTGCGCAGGACAGGAGAGACATGGACATCATGGAGCAAGCCCAGTGAAGGAAAATGAATCAGGGATTGGAGCATCTATGACGTGCGGAAAGACTGAGAGAGCAGGCACTGCTCAGCCCAGTGCAGAGACGGCTCGCTAAGAAATCTTACCAATACTTCAAAATACTGAAGAAGCAAAGAAGATGCAACCAGACTGCTCTCAGAGGGTGCCCTGTAACAGGGCAATGGGCACCAGGCACAAATTGAAACACAGGAAAATCTGTTCAAACAAAAGAACTGTTTTTGCTGTGAGAGCGACTGAGCAGTGGAAGAGGCTGCCCAGTGGAGTCTCCCCATGCCAAAGATATTCAGAACCAGATTGAACCAGATCCTGAGCAACCTGCTCTAGCTGATCTTTTTTTGAGCAGGAGGCTGGACTAAATGCCCTTCAGAGCTCCTTTCCAACCTCAGCTATTCTATAGTTCTGTGAAAACATCCCCCACTATGTCTGCCCACCCTGGCTTCTAACCTCCACATGCAAGACCGCAGTGATGGTTGATTGTCTTCAATGTCATTAGTACGTTTATTTTATCCTATGACTTAATTCATCCTCTTCCCTAGTCTGAGTAACCAGAACAGAATAAAAGTTAAGAATGATTTAAACAGAATATTATCCTTTTAGATTAGATGTCATGACTTATGCATTTTGGTAAAAAAAGTGTAGAACTGGAAAAAAAAAAGTATTTACACACTGAATGAGACATGTAACTATAGTGATACTCATTTTGACTTGGAAAATGTGTGTATAACACTTCAACTATTTGTGAAACAGCAATTAAAACATTTTATTTTTATCAACATCTACTAGAGTTCTGTCAAAAAGTACTTCAAAAAATGAATCATTCACTTGATTTTAGAACTACTTATTTAACAAGTGTGGCTTTCATGGGTTATTTTTATATTGTCATATTATAAATACATACGACAATATTAGTATAAACCAATCTTCATACCACAGTGAATATATATATATATATATATCCTGGTAAATTTTTGAAGGCTTTTAATTATAGGAATGGAAGGCCTCCTTCAACTTGCTGCTGCCTCTAAAGCAAATTATCTTAGATATGAACATAATGTACTGACTTTCAAAACATAATATAGCAATATGTAATTTAATGGCAAGATGAGTATATCCTGAAGTTGACTGATAGGTCAGACTGCTAGAATTTAAAGTCTTTTTTCAAGCTACACTTCTTGGGAAAAAAAATAACAAAAGCCTGACTACCACTTAGATCCTTATGATTAGATCCACAAAGGGACTTCAGCCAAGTCCTACCTGCTTTTACATTAAGTGTGTAAATCTGTAATTGTGATCCTGGCCCTTCCTTTACTGCTGGTTTTCCCACCTGCTTTGTATTTCATGGCATCTAAATTACTCCAAGGGCTAACACTGCCCTTCCTGGCATCACCAGAAATACCTCAGTCTTGACAGTGCTGAGCTGTTCAAAGTCCTGTGTTCAAAGTCCCATCTAGTAAACCTAGTACTTTGTACAAGCTAAATATTCCTATAATGAGAGAGATCCAGTGTAAGAGGAATTTTCAAGGCAGCCCTGGCATGTCACAGAAAATGGCCAGAGGCAAGTTACATCCCCAGTCTGGAGCGCTTATATGAATTCAACTCCCTCTCTGCCTGACAGCAAAACTCACATCACTTTATTCTCCTGACTGAAGCACCCAGAATAGCACTGACAAATATTTTTTAGATTGTAAGGAGAGCGGTAGCTGTCTCAATCACACCTGTGTGATGAGACCACACAGAAAGATTAAAAATGATGAAGTCACAAAGACTCTATGGCATTTGCAAACCTGCAATCACATCTACATACTCTTTGGCTACAGCCAACTTGCAGCTGACACCAAAATTTCCCATTCTTTTATTCTAAGTATTACATAATTCCTCATTGTCATTTTCTGCCAACTATGTTTTCATGCATCTAATTTTCTTGGCCAGAAGATGGCATAGATATTTCAAACTAAATTGTTGCTGCAGCTTCATTGGAAGTTTCTGTATGATAATTACTATAATATAAATACCGTGGAGTGTATCAGTGTGATCTGTCATTTATGCTGTACTGGTTATGTCAAATTTTCTTCAACGGGCTATACACTGCAATGAATTACAATGCAGATTATTCTTACAGCGTGGTCTTTTAACACAACTATTCTTCCCTGTCTCTGAAGCCTATTGTTACGCAGTTCTGCAGCTGCCCAGACCGGTGAGAACACGAACACSCTGAATGTCTATCAGCTCCGGTTAAAAGTCAAGATCTTGCAGGATCTGGGCTAGGATATGACATTAACAGTCTCTGTCTTAGTAAGATTATCACTTATGAGCTTGGGCTATGAATATTTAATACTTTCTCCTCAGTGTCAAGCTACCTGCCTGACATTATTGCAGCTGAAGGCAATTGCCATGCCTGTAATTACAGAGCAGGCTTCATTAGTGTCTCCAACTAGATGACCATGGGTCTAAAAATTCCCTCCACTGTGAGAGACACGAGTAATTCTGGATGAGGTTATCTGAAAACTACCAAATAATATAAGGMTTTTTCTCAGGTTAAAAAGAAATAAGAAGAGGTTTCCTGCAAGTTTTAAGACAAAATGTGCCTTACGGACTTTAAGTCRTTTATATTCCCTTGTACCACCACTTGCAGCAGCAGGGTTAATTTGCTAATCAGAAGCAAAACCCACAGGCCCATCACGCTATTCAAATTTAATGTGCACGTGGACTTCTTGATTCAGGCCAGGTTTATAAATAGCGCCCTGAGTTTAAAAATAGGCATTTCATATCTAAGGGAGTTGATATTATGATCTGTAAAATGAATGAAGCTCCCAAGAGTAACTGGAGCTTATGTAATATTTATTTCTACATTTCTGCTCAGCTGTTTTATGTCATTTTGATGCTGAGCTGCAAGGACTGCTAGTTTCATAATCCTTTWAAACCTTTCTACAGTGAAGCTGGAACTGTCTGCACACTTTCTTGTCTAGGTAAACTTAGATGGCTTTCGGACTTTGGCTSACAAACAGTGGTCCTCCTTATGGATTTTTAATTTAATAGTTTTATTTGCATGTGACCTTTGTGGAATTTCCAACTGGGCTGCCAACTACCACAACTTCCCAATATTAAGTTAATCCTAGAAGGATTCTGGAGAGMTTTTTATTTTCTTGAAACCTTACTATTGATTAAGATCTAATGCGGAAGGGTTTCTGAACCTGTAAAACAAAGCTCTGTCCCCAAATGAACGAGCAGTGCATTAAATTTGCATTAGATACTCACAAAAACAGTTTTCACTCCTTGATTTTGTCGTCGTTTGTGACATTTTATACATGAAATACTGGTGCTAATGGAAGAACTTTAAGGACAAAAATGGTTGTAGATTATGATGAACATAAAGTGTTGGCATCTGTCATTGAAACACCATGAAGACAGCYCTATGACAGAAGCAGAGGCATGACCAACAGGTATGCCTAAAAAATGCTTTTCTAAGGAAAAGAAGTCCAGCTCTTGTAGCAAATTAAAGCAGACTGTATTGAATACTGCGCTCGRCCTTTGAACCTTGCTTGTTTTGTACATCAGTCCACTGCTTTCCTGGGACGGCTCGTATTCCAGATACAGAGATTTCCTCACACTTACCATTCTGTTGTGAAGGGGAGGAAATACTCATTTTCTAAGCTAGGTGTTTTGCCAGATGTTAGTATACTGTTGGGTTCAGGCTGTGAGGTGCCGTATTTTCATTTTCTACTTTCTGCTAGAGACATTCATTGGCATGCACACAATATTAGTCTTGTTTTCACTTATCAGCACACAGCCCCAGATTCATATTCTGAGCCAGGGCTTTTTATAGAATTAAATGAGATCAGTTCTGCACTAATGGGAAACATTTCAAAATGCTGCAAAATCTGTAAGCTATCCTTGAAGAAAATCAGTAAAAGTATTACAAGTAATCAGAAACTGGTGCTTTAAAATATAAATTAAAGCTCTGGCACTATTAAATACTTGAAAACTGTGGGCATAAAAATCTTGGCAATACTACATTTGAATAAATTACAACTTCCATAGAACTTGATTTGAATTTATAGCAAAGCAATCTATTAAATAAGCCTCATTATGAAATGATCAGAGATGACTGTTCACACATATGGCAGTATTTCAGAGGTGATAAAAAGACAGYGGGTAAGAATGGCAAGGACCTGCTAGGTAGAAATTAAATTTGATCTCATAATTGGTTAAACAATGCAACATTACTGTCCTTTTTCTTTGAAGATACATTTAACAAGTAAACATTAAAGGTTTGAACCAATGGCCACTGAAACGAAGCTTTGAACCTGACTTCAATGGAAGCTGCATCTACAGTTTAGTTTTGCCTAAAGGCAAAGCATCTCGTTAGCATAAAAATTTTGCACTCTCAGATAAATTTGGTACCACCTAAAGCATTAATGCATTAAGAGGAAATGTAATGTTATAGACTACAAAATGTAGCCACATTATGAAAACAAAATGATGTCTTGAAAAGATTTGCAATAAGAAACCGATAGATTRTTTATATGGGAAATGGAATAGATTAGCAGAAATAATGATCTGATCTGACAGTCTGACAATATTAAAAGATACAGATAAAATTTGAAAAACAGGGTAAGTAGTAACTTTGCCATTTTTTTGCCGCCAAAATGAGATCTTTTCCATGATTCATTCAGATTTCGTTGGCATAAAGAACTCTACCTAGAGTTTCTGTCACTTCAAAACATTCTTATTTGGTTCCATAGATATATTCTTTTGCTCAAACTAAAAGTTTTGAGAGAAAATACTTTTCAGTTTCAATATATGAGGAAATATTTCTGCAGAGTACAACTCTCTGTTATGCTCCTAAATTGGAATGTAACATTTGTCCCTCTACTTCTTTTTAATCTGCTGGAAAAGTGCTCAGCCTCTCAGTCTTCCAGTCCAAGCTAAGAAAGGAGTGACTGTAATTTTCTATGATTTTTCTGCACCTATATAAGTTTATAGAAAGTTCTGGAAACTATGTGATTCTCAGTAACTTCAGGATCTATTTAGCACTAAGTATCACAACCCACCCAGCATTTTGTCTATGTTTTGCAAGAGCAGTTGTTGTGGATGCACCATCATGTAGTTCTTATGCAATCCTCTTTTACCTATCATGACCATCAACATCATGACAATTAACCCCAAACACATTTTTTCCATTCCATTTCTGTCATATTTTGTTCTTGGAAAAGTTTAGTTATCTGTGAGAAAACTGATTTGTTTCCTGTTACATTAATACAGTTTTTTATTTGGACAGTAAGGTCTGATGTTTGCTGAGTAAAGGGGCTTCTTTTCAGTTAGAGCCGAGAAAATATTTAAAGGACCACTGCTTTGGCCAGCATCTAAAAGCACAGCCTGCCAAAGCTGGTTACCATTAGCTTATCTTTCTTCCCACATACATTTATAGCACAACAGCTGCTTAAGTTATTTAAATGGCAAAGTCAATAAATTGAACCTGTGCATCCTCAGTTCAGCCAACTGCTGTTTATGCATTGTAAGGCATCTTTAGTTACATAAATGACGTTTTTCCTACGGCATCCTGATCTCACTTTCTGGAGGGAATGAATACTTTTTGGTCATGAAAAGTTATGCAAAATTTTGGTGTTACAGGGTTTGGAGGGCTTTTTTTTTTCTTTTTCTTTTTTTTTTTTTTTCCCCCAATGTGGAGTTGTAGTCTGCTGAAACCCAATTCTAAAGATAAAAACTAGTTTATTCCTCCATCTTCCTTATGGTACTCACTCACTTCACAATAAACCGTATGTAAAGATTTCATAGAACATTAACTTCGTGGGTGCTTAAATGCAAGGTCTTTTTTAAAGTACTTATTTTATATGAAAACAGTCTTTCTAATTGATTGTTTGTAACAAAGAAGCTTAAAATACTTTACAAACATAATAAACTCTATTTTTTATTTGTATTGGCCAATGTTCCTGAGCTCACAAGCAAAACATATYAGAACTTAGATTTCAGGAGGTTCCTGAAAGGCAGGTAAAACATCCTCTCTGCAAGCAGGTACTGAGTTTCCACCCAGTTTTCTAGCTTAGCTATTTGGTATTCCACCTGACATCCTAACTGAAAGCGGAAAGTCTCAAATTTGAGTTTCCATACTTAAAAATTTTTCAAAAGACAGACTCCCAGGATGTACTGTTTGTCTGCAGCTTCTAAAGGAAGCAGTTAGTGTTTCCAAGATTTACAGGCAGAGGATCTAAACTGAGACAACCATAGCTCCCCATTTCAGGGAAAATTGAAATTTGGCTGCTTCAGAGACAAAACTCCACCATTTTCTAAACATTTAAATATTCTGAAGATCTTTCTCAGATATCCACATAAAATTCAGTATCCTAACTAACTCCTACAGTTTTCAATTACCATTTGGCTATCTATATGTCTCTGTCTTCTGGCCAGGTCCACCATCCAGCTTCATTCATTATCAATCTGCTTTCTACAGCTTCTATTAAGATTTTTTTTTCACTTCTGACCCAGTCCTAATACTGTCAAACAGCTTTTTTCCAATCTGTATCTAATCCAATTTTTCCATTTCAGCTTCATCTGTGAATGAGCAGATGGAGATTTCTTCTTATTAACTCATGCAGTGAATGTAATGGAAAGCCAGTTTCCAAAGGCCCTACCTGGTCAGTGATATTCCATTTCAGCTCCCACTCTCAGATCTTTTGCCCAGTCTTCTTCATGAAATGAATCATTTATGATCCAGCTGCTGATATTACCTTCAATCTGCATTAGTCCTCACAGACCAGTGTGAGGACATGAGGAACAGCATGGGAAACATGACTTTGCTCTCTTAGTTCAGTTGCCTGGTCCTAGACCCAACCGAAACCACATTAGAACTTCAAGGCAAGTGCTCAGACCTGTGCTACACCTGACTAATAAAAGCAGAATCTTTGTCTGTGAAAATGTAAGTCTCAGCTGAAAACAGGAAAGCTGATTTTTTTGAACACTTGTACCATGGCCAACCTATGTGGATTCACACACATTTCTTGTAGCCATGTTTTTTTCAGTTGCTCAAGATTTTGCCAACAGTGGTAATAAGAATATTAATCAAAAGTACCAGCAGAAGTTGCAACAGTTAGCAGAGAGAGAGAAAAGCATTTTATGTGAAATCTCTAGCTAAATTGTAAAACTACACTTACAAATAAGTAGGATTTTCCAAGAACTACATTTTAATATGGATGGTCTTTGTCTCACCTAGAGTTTCTATGGTGTTACTTCTGCAAATTTTCAACACTGTTTAAAAAAAAAAAAAAAGGGGGAAAAAAAAACCCAACAGTAACTTTTCAGTCACTTTCCCCTTCTCGGTTCTCGGTCATAAATTCTTTTATTCACACAGTGCCTTCATCCATTCTTGTATCAGTTGCCAGTATGCCAGGGTAGATCCTGAAAGCAATACTTCTTCCCTTTGTCCTCCTCTTCTGCTTTAAGGAGGTCTTATTTCTGCACTGAAAAGATCTGGAAATCTGCCAAAGCCTTCAAGAAAAGTGTGTATCACTCTGGCAGTAAACTCCAAGACAAAAAGAATAAACAACTACAGAAATCAACTAGAGAAAGATATTTATAAATCCAGATACAAAAAATTAAAAAAAAAAAAAAAAAAAAAAAAAAAAAGTAATCACTGAGGCCATTTATTCCACCTGTTCTTAGTTGGTACTAATTGTTGAATGCCAAACTCAATGCCTGTATCAAATAAGATTTACACAAAATGAAATAAGTGAAATCCTATGCCAAATAATGTCTACATTTCTATGTTTTTCTCTGTATTTGTAGATTTAATATGCCTCCCATGTAAAGCATCAGATTAGTGAGAACATGTGTTTTAAAATGTATCCAAAGAAGATATTAAAAATATATATTTTTAATAATTATAAAAGCTAAAATGCCCTATTAGTTTCTTTTTTTAATTTATTTTTAGCTGCTTGAACTTGCAGCACTCAAAATAAATGCATAAAAGTTTGCAAAAGCTCACATTGGAGTACTAACAAAAATTTGCATCATATAAAAAAAGGAAATATAGTTTCTTAGCGTTTCCAACAGGAGCTCATATTTGATCTTCAGTGAATAATCTCAGCATTCCAAAATATAATCCCAAACATACACATAAAAATGCACACACACATAGGTACACATACATGCATATGTAAGCTTGCAGATAGTATGCATATGCATACACATGCAAGTATGCATATATACACATCAATAGCTTTTTGTAGATATGTATGTATATAGCTGTTATTTAAAAAATGAAGAAAAACATAGCTATGTACCTCCTCAAAAACATGAAGAGTTGTGAGGCATTCAGATTAGATATATCAAAAGCTAATATTTATGTACCTAAAAAGATCAAAGGATTAATTCAGAACATATATTTATGATGGGTTCCATCATCTTTAAAGAACAGAGGCGAGTTCTTTCTTTTAAACAAAATTTAAAATAATCTCCCTTTGTTTGTTGTTTGCTTCCAAAAGTGAACCTATGGATCATTGCTTAATTTCCCAGTGAGGAGGCAGAGAAGGATGAGGGAACTGTCCTTGTTACCACCTGGCATCGCTTGTTTCATTGAAGAGCGTGTCTCTTTAGGAATTTTGGAAAAACAATGGAGTTGTTTGTGTTATGTTCAAATCTCAGAAATTCTTTGCTATAATATCCAAAGCTTCTACTTCCTAAAACATGAATTGCATGGGTTTAGTTACGTGCTATTCAGCAGATTGAAAAAGAGGGTATCACTGTAATGGAAGCTTGAAATACAAATAGTAAAGTAGATCCTTTCAGAGTGGAAAAGTTAAGGAGTGATTTAAGGAAAACGAATGAAGTTAAACATAAMAGGTAAATGTAAGTTTGGGAATGTATTAGTCATCATATTGTTTATGCTGATATTTCAATAAAGACCTATTAAAAGATCTAAAGATCTATTTAGGACCAGAGCAGCTTAAAGTAATGAATATTTCAAAAATTTCAGTTTGTGAGATTAGCAGAATCCAAGTAAATGAGATGACAAAAGTAAAAATTAATGGCAATTAAAACTTCAAAGTAGTTTTCCCTTAAAGGATGCACCTTTAAGTTGGGCTTCTTCCTCTTTAGATTAAAAATAAATCTCACTTCTGATATGTAAAAATCAATTTTGATCTAGAAAGTCAAAATTAAATATTAAGTCTTCTACTAAAGTAGGCCATTAAACAGTGAGAGAAGCACTGACAGAATAGAGCAAAAGAGAAACTAATACTTGTTTTTTTATATTTATTTTACAGGAAATGTATTTGTTGTAAGCCTGGCCATTGCAGACTTGGTTGTAGCAATCTACCCGTATCCACTGGTTCTCACCTCTGTGTTTCACAATGGATGGAATCTCGGATACCTTCACTGCCAGATTAGTGGCTTCCTCATGGGCCTAAGTGTCATTGGATCAATCTTCAATATCACAGGCATCGCTATCAATCGGTACTGCTATATCTGCCACAGTCTCAAATACGACAGGCTGTACAGTGACAAGAATTCCCTGTGTTATGTCGTTCTTATCTGGGTCCTGACCTTCGTTGCTATCGTGCCCAATCTGTTTGTGGGATCTCTACAGTATGACCCTAGGATTTACTCGTGTACCTTTGCACAATCTGTGAGCTCAGCATATACTATAGCAGTGGTGTTCTTCCATTTCATGCTTCCCATAGCCATAGTTACTTTCTGTTATTTGAGAATATGGATCCTTGTTATTCAGGTAAGGCGAAGGGTTAAACCAGACAACAACCCAAAACTGAAACCACATGACTTCAGAAACTTTGTCACCATGTTTGTGGTATTCGTCTTATTTGCTGTCTGCTGGGCTCCTTTGAACTTTATAGGCCTTGCTGTGGCCGTCAACCCAGAAACTATAATCCCTAGGATTCCAGAGTGGTTGTTTGTATCTAGTTATTACATGGCATATTTCAACAGCTGCCTTAACGCTATTATATATGGACTCCTGAACCAGAATTTCAGAAGAGAATACAAGAGAATTATCATCACTTTTTGTACAGCAAAAGTTTTCTTCCAGGATAGTTCCAATGAGGCAGCTGACAGGATGAGGAGTAAACCTTCTCCACTGATTACAAACAACAACCAAGTGAAGGTGGACTCAGTGTGAAAATGGGAACATTATTATTGTCATTCAACAACATCCAAAYAGAGTATCTGGTTTACTAGACCTACTATTAAATATTACAGCGAAATATCTGTTCTACACTGAAGGCACTTCAATAAAATTCCTTGCTTGGAACTTGGGATCCAAAGTTATAGATCCCTGACATATGGATCCCATCAGCCAATGATGGTTTTTTTCAAGTAACAACACAGTCATATTGTTTAGGATATTACAGGATTACATACAGATTTTTTTTTTTTTTTTTTAAATAAAGTCAAGAACTGGAGAAGTTAGAAGCAGAAGTACCCATCTAGCCTAACCCCATGAAAGAAATACAAAACTATTCCCACCACTTTCTACTTGCTTCTCCTTCCAGGCAGGTTACAGTCATGATTCTGAAACACCTGGGGAGTTATTTTAAAAGATGAAATCAAACCATGAGCAAATATATTGATGGGCCTACATTGGTGAAGTGAGAAGTCAAGKTATTTGAAAAGACTATCTAATCTGTTCCTGTAATGACCCAAAWAATTTATTTTTATAGAGATTAAACCCCACCAGCCCTCCTAGGAAAGGCATTCCCAATTGAACTGTCAATTTTAAAAAATTTTGTAGGAGAGAAATATATTTGATTTGTTGATTTCAAAACTACAAGGACAAGAAGGATAAACAAGAAAGAAAGAAAATAGATATAACTCAAAATCAAGCCATTTGGGGGAAAAAGGGTGAAAGAGGGGTGGGGAGAGAAACCTGAAACACTATTCTTCTTTCTGAAGAAAAAGGAATGCAAGAAATTTGAAAGTTCTCAGAGGAGGTTTTGGGGGTACCTAGAAACCTCCTAGGGGGTACACATGACTCTCAGGACAGGATCTGCCATATGGACTTTCCGCAGATAACTCTGTGGATGTCTCTTAAGGGTGAAGAGAAACACTGTGAGGTGAGGAAGCAAAACTAGAAAGTCTCCTGCAGCAGTGAGTCTATGTTTAGGTGGAGAAAAACAGCTTACCACAATAGGCTTCACCTTTTTAATTTAACAGACCAAGAATCTTTCAAATGATATGAATATGGCATTTGGTAGTTCCACTGACCGTAGAGAGAAGGGGCATTCAGGTCCAGAAGAACACTCCAAATGCTCTACCTTTTAATGCTCAAGTGTTCATACCCACCCTGGTATTCAACTATATTTGAAGTAGCTGAACGACAGAGTAAGTATGACTCCAGGCATCTCCACYGGACTGACAGTTTCTGAATGGCCTATTGGACATCTGTTAATCTCTGTTAAAATGTGGACTACATTTAAACCAATTCATTTGAACTTACTTGCTATGCTGGAAATTAAGTACTGATTTTTAGTAACTGAGACTTCCTAGAAAACAACTTTCACCTGTATTATATAGCTCCTTAAAATAGATACAAATCTAATACTGTGCCATCTCTTTTGTATCATATATTTATGTACCCTTTATTTATTATTAAGAATAAGCGAAAGGGAACACATTCATATTTACTTGAAAACTCCACTGATAYTTTGTCAACTGACCAGCTTCTTATCTTAAAGATAGGTGCCTCATGTTGCCACTCACTCATGTCAAGTTGTTAATAATCCTAATTAACCTTGTAAATCTTTAGAGCTGAACTAGCCGGTCAATGCATTGCCAAGGTGCTTGACTCATCTTTGTTTACATTCAAACCCTTGTTGCCAGTCAGAACCACAGTGTAAATAACTAGCTATCTTCTCTTGTGGTATCATCTTATGATGCGATATGATACAACATGATTAACAGCATGAATTATATCACAGCTTTGTTCACTGTGATTTCATCCTTAGAGGATGCTTAGCTCTGTAATTCTATCGCTTTGTGTGCAGTGATTTTAGAATAACAAGGGAGGTTATGACCATCTTATAGTAGTCACTTAAGAGAAAACACTATTTAAATTCTTACAAAACTTGCCTTATTTAAAGTATATTTTCAATGAAAATAATGTCTTATGATACATCTAGTAAAGTCACATAATGATAATTTCAGTAGTCTAATTATCAGTAAATTTAGAATTCTCAAAGATTTTTCACTTGCCCTTTCAAACTGAAAATGTATGTTTATCATGTCTACACATTAAGGAGCCTTGACAATTGTTCAAGATACTGTATACAACTCTGTGGGTTATCTGAGGAGTTAAAGTCCCTTTTAATTCACAAGTACTAAAATATATTTTTGATGATAATGAAAATGGTTTGCTATATGCAATAAAACGTATTATACCAAAGGTATATATTTTATTGAATAGGCCTGTAATTAAAATGGAGAGCATTTTTCAGAGCTGGTATTTTGACATATTTGTATTAAATCTAAAAATCACAGAAATGTGCATGTTGGTGTTGTTATGAGCTGCTAAATATAGCAATAATTTTAAGAAATTAATCTCTTGTTCTTCTTTCGGGGAGGGARGAATATTAGTCTTTAGAACTCAATTTCAATTATGGATGAAACCTCTGCACTTACTACCATGCAAAAGCAAGTTTTAGGTAAGGTTTGCAAAACAGTTCTCTGCAAAAGTGAAATACTGAGCACTGCAGTAATGATCATTTCTTTTAATCAAAATCTTTTCCTTCAAAGTGGTTGAAGTGATCCATTTAAGACAACGAGCAGCCTCCTTCCATAGCACTTGAGCAATTCATGAAATCAGACTTTTCATGCTCAGTAGAAATATGATTGATGAAAATAATTGTGATTTCCTTCACTTTTAGGAGATGACGTTAGGAACTTATCCAAAATTAAATGTTTTTGTGCAACTGAACAAGCCCTGACATGTTCTTACATTCCAAATCAAGACATTTTTCCTTGATAGAGGGCTAGTATAGGACACAGGTATTACTTAGAGCTCAGTATGGAAGCTTTAAGTACTGTACTTGTCCCATAGCAGGCAGCTGCCCTGGATGGATATAATTCTAAACCATGAATCATGTCAATGTCACACATGCAAGGAACCATCTCTTCACTTTTTCCTATCCATTTCTATTCAGAGCACTAAAGAACCTCTGCAAAGAAGCAGTGACTCCCTCTGCATCCAACACACTGAAGATTTAAAACATAGTTGGGTCCAGCCTTATTCTACAAGAATGTCTGTCTTATATCACAGTCTTGATTGTGTAGACAGTCTGAACATCTTGAACCCTCACAGACTGACAGTTATATTGGTGGTCATGTTCGTTGCAACTTCATATTTACAAAAAAGCTTGGAATTATTGCATTTTTACCAACAGAAACAGAATTAACTAATACATTTGCATGCGCTAATAGGGTATTTATTGTAGTCAACTGTATTTTCATTTAAAGTAGCTCAGTTGGAGTACTTTCCAATAGGCTAGTGGAAGCGTGCAGACATGAAGCAAACATGTGCTGTTTCAACAGGCATTTTTTTTTTATTTTTTCCTTAGTTTTTTTTAGAAAATAATTACATCTTTGAATCATCCATAATAGACATATTAAATCACYCATAATAAACATATTACTAGAAACAGTCTGTATCACACTGTATAACATATCCTTTTATAATCAGTCAATACTGCAACTTTTTTCTCATTTTGGATTACTTTTGAAATGATATATCATTTTATTTGTGTTTCCTTCACACAATGAAGGAAACTGTTACACTCCCTAAACAGCACTGAAAAAAAAATATGAAAAAAATGCTTTCAAAATATAATGCAATAAAATGCAATAAAGAYGTGTGGTTACCAAATTCTTATTTAGCTAAAGAATCCTTTGATTTCAATATTTTGTTCATAAATCGTAGTAAGGTAGTTAGCAATAATATACTACTCTTAGCAGTAATATTTTTAATCCTTTCCTAATAACTGCACTTTCTCAACATCATTAATAAAGTTTACAAAAAAAGATAAGTACAAATGTCTGCCATTTTATCACTGACACTTAGGAATCAGACTTGCTGAAGATAAATTTGGTGTAAGAAAAAATACCCARGTACTGGCCTTCCTTATACACCATACCTGTATTAAACAGAAGTTCCATTACATGTTTTATGAGTTCAGTCATGAAAAATATTATTCCTATCTCAAATATGTGTCTTAGAGGTTACAATCAAGAATACAATGGAAAATACCCAGTGTGCAAGTTGATAACCTTTATATTTTTTTACAGAAATAAAAAAATAATACATAGCTTAATAATAGCCATGGAATTATGAATTCCATGAATTACAAGTACAATAAAATATCAGTCATACAAGCACTACCTATTACCAAACACTGATTAAAGTATGCATAAGTACATTATTCATAAGTATATAAACCTAAAGAAGCAACCAAACAGTATGTAAGGCACAACGTCTGATTTTTGGTTCACAAAAAGTAGCAGAGATTATTCACTGTTTTATTTCAGCTGAGGACCTTGACTTATTAGTTTTCCTAGATGTATGGAATGGCTTTCTTACACCACTGCGCAAACAATATTTGTTTTAATCCTAAGTAATCCATCATTGTCAGTTGCCCAGACTGTGAGAGAATGTGCATTTCCTGGCAAAATATCAGCAAAATAAACCTCTCCCAATGGAACTATCTATGTGACATGTCATTTTATAAGTAAATACATACAGTCAGTGGTCTTTTATTCTGCTTCATTACTAAGTGCATTAATAGAATCCYTTTAACTGATATCCAGAAAACTGCACCAAACAACAAGACATAGATCATATAAAAACAGAAGTCAATTTTCAGTTTTTCTTTCTGCTTATACTGCCTTGTTACACAAGGGTTTCTTTAAACAACAAAAAGGATTTCACTTTGCAACTTTGTTTCCTGATCCAAAAAATGCTTTTACTCAAATACCTACTCTTTAGTCCGTCAATGTGCATAAATATTTATATTTTTTTCATAATACATCTGGTGCACTCCAATGTGATTATCAGGTGCATTGTACAAAACAAACAGAAGTTTTTTTCCTGCACACCCAAAACTCTGGATCCTACTGTCCCAGCCTACACAAACCCAACACTGGTACACAAAACTAGTCACAGAAAAAGAAGATTCCATAGGACTAGCAAATACAAAGATACCCCCTAGCAC